AGATGTAGCCTATAGTACCGCATGTACCTACCACTGTGTCAGAGCCACATGTGTCTTCATTCCAGTTGGCTCGTCTTCTGCTGTGGGCAGCAACTGGCCCTTCTATTGAAGGACCAGGCAGGGGTCACCTTGAGCTGGATCAGATCAGGAATTTTTTTCCGAGCCATAATAGCCCCTGAGTGATATCTCCAGAGAAGCTTTCATTGGTGGGCACAGCCTATATTCAGAGTAGATGCCTGCCCCCAGCCCACTGCTGTGGCTACAATTGAACTGGTAGATGTGTGTTTTTTTGTTTTTTCCCTCTCCATAGTGCAGGAGTTACTTTGAAGTAGTGCTAGTGGCTGTCTGGGCTGCTTGCACACTGCTATGCTTTGGATGGACTCTAGCCAAGGGCATATTGAACAGGACAGGTCTGCAAGAGAACACAGGGGTTACACATCAGTGTCAGCAAGGTTTGTGCAAGTCTACTATAGGAGGAGTCCTGTAGCTGCTTTGGAAAACTCCTGCCAAAACTCCTGCCAAGGAGGCAGGTGTGCAGGAAAATTCAGAGGCTGGGTGAATGTTGTTAGCTCACTTGCACTGTTCCAGTCTGTGGGAGGGGACCTGTGGCTGCTTTGGAAAACTGGTGAGAACTGGTTTGAGCAGGTGGGGTCGGGCCACTAGCTAGGTGGAGAGTAATCAAGTTGCACCAGTTCCTGCAGGTATTGTCGTATCTGGGCTGCGGGGATGGTGCCACCCACTCTTGTTCTTGGAACAGTCTCCCAAAGATCCCTGCCCCTCTAAGATATGTTCTGAGATTAGGATATAAATCTTCCTATATACCTTAGGTGTTTTTCAAACTGCTGCTTCTATACTGCATCTCAGGGAAGCGGTTATGCTGGTCGCTTTAAGGGCGGGACTCTGCTGCCTATCCCCGGGCTCTGGCTCTCCCACAGCTAAACCGGCTGTTTTTTTTTTTTTAAATATTTTATTTATTTATTTGACAGACAGAGATCACAGGTAGGCAGAGAGGCAGGCAGAGAGAGGAAGTGGAGCAGGCTCCCTGCTGAGCAGAGAGCCTGATGCGGGGCTCGATCCCAGAACCCTGGGATCATGACCTGAGCCGAAGGCAGAGGCTTAACCCACTGAGCCACCCAGGCGCCCCTAAACCGGCTGATTTTTAAAGTTTCAAGTGTTAAGCCCCAGTGATTATGAAAATGCATGAAATTAGACCCTCTGGTTTTCAAAGCCAAATGTTATGGGGATTTATCTTCTCAGTGAGGTTCCCCTGTGCCTGGGGTGTCTGGTGTGCTCCTCTCCCCTCCACATGTGTGATATCCCTCCTCAAAACACACACTTGCAGGTCAGTTTGGCTCCCAACCAGACCTCTGACCTTCCTACCCTCTTCAAAATGGTCTTTTCTCTATATTTATCTGTGGAGAGTCTGTTCCATCAGTCTGGGTCATTTTCTGCTTTATCTGTACTTTACATGGGTGTTATCTACTTGTATCTAAGGGATGAGGTGAGCTTGGGATCCTTCTACTCTGCCAACTTACCTGGAAGTTTCTCCCATTGTTATTTTTCACTGGTATTCCAAAGTATTTTCCACTGGAATTTATTTTTTTTTTAACTATCCATTTTTTTAAAGATTTTATTTATTTATTTTTAAGATTTTATTTATTTGACAGAGATCATAAGTAGGCAGAGAGACGGGGGGAAGCAGGTTCCCTGCTTAGCAGAGAGCCCGATGCGGGGCTCGATCCCAGGACCCTGGGATCATGACCTGAGCCGAAGGCAGAGGCTTCAACCCACTGAGCCACCAGGCACCCCATCCACTGGAATTTATCTTAATAGGCACATTCAAGCACTTACAATTTGTTTAAAATTGCAATTTGCCTAAATATTGCTGTAGTTCTGATCTGACACCAGTGAAGTGGAACTTCAAAATCTAAAGGAGCCAAAATAACCCTGGAGGAAAAAGTGTCCCCTATTACTAGGTACACAATGTCTGTGCATGTGAAAACTGGCATGTAGATTCAATGTTAACTAAGGAATGACAAAGAAACATCTTGTGAGTGACAAGAGTAAAAAAAAAAAAAAAAAAAGTTTCAGAGACATCAAAACAATTTATCCTGTATTTTTACTTTTAAAAAATAAGGGAATTTTTTCCTACAGTTTCTCCCTCTCCCTTTAACACATTTTGCCCATTCCCTACTGCCCACCTCTCTGGCAAGTATTGTCTGTTCTCTTTACCTAGAGGTCTCTGACATTTGTTTATTCATTTTTTTTAATACTCCACATATAAGTGAAATAATTTGGTATTTGTCTTTCTCAGTCTGACTTATTTCACTTAGCATTATACCCTTTAAATACACCCATGTTGTTGTAAATGGCAACTCTTAATTCTTTTATATGGCTAACACACACTCACACACTACATCTTCTTTATCTATTCATCTTTTATGGACACTTAGGTTTCTTCCTTGTCATGGCTATTTTAAATGATGTAGCAATAACTTAATGGTTCATTTATCTTTTAAAATACTGTTTTTGTATTCTTTGCGTAAATTGCCAGTACTGGATTTACTGAATCATAAGATATTTCTATTTGTAATTTTTTGAGGAAACTCCATACTGTTTCTGTAATAGCTATACCAATCTGCCTTCCCACCAACAGTACACAAGGGTTCCTTTTTTTTTTTTTTAGAACATCCTGGCCAATACTTGTTTTTTTCTTCTTTTTGATTCTAGCCCTTTTGACAGGTGTGAGGTGATATCTATTGTGGTTTTTCCCTGTATATCCCAAATGAGTAGTTGATGCTGAACATCTTTTCATGTGTGTGTTGGCCATCTGGATTTCTCCTATGGAAAATGTCATGACTTGACAGTGAGGACCTGAATGGTCAGGTCCTCTGCCCAATTTTAACTGAACTGGTTTTTGGGTGTTGAGTTGTAGTTCTTTATATAGTCCGGATATTAATTCAGATGTATCATTTGCAAATATCTTCTCCCATTCATTAGGTTGTGTTTTTGGTTTTTTGATGGTTTCTTTCCTTCACTGTGCAAAAGCTTTTTTTTTTTTTTTTTAGGCTTTATTTTGGTGTTTTCCTGATAGCTTAATTTTGCTTTTATTTCCCTTGCCTGAGATTTGTCTAAAAGAATGTTGCTAAGGCCAATGCAAAGAAATTACTGCTTATGCTTTCCTCAGCGTTTTATGGTTTCAGGTCTCACACTTATATCTTCAATCAATTTTGAATTTATTTTTGTGTATGGTGTAAGAAAATGGTCCAGTTTTATTCTTTTGCATGTAATGTCCAATTTTCCCAGAATCATTTATTGAAGAGACTTTCTCCCAATGTATATACTCTTGTCTCCTTTTTCATAGATTAATTGACCATATAAGTGTGGGTTTATTTCTGGGCCATTCTGTTCTATCTGTCCAAGTATTTTTGTGGCAGTACCATACTGTTTTGATCACTACTTCTTTGCATTATATCTTGAAATTCAGGATTTTATTTTTCAGTACTGTTCTGCTTTTTTAAGACTGCTTTGGCTATTCAGGGTCTCTTGTGGTTCCATATAAATTCTGGTATTATTTCTTCTAGTTCTGTGAAGGAAAGAAGGCATTCTTTTTATTTTATTCTTTTTTTTTTTTTTTTTAACTTATTTGAGCCAGAGTGAGGAAGAGAGAGAGCACAAACAGAGGCATTGCAGAAGGAGAGGGAGAAGCAGGCTCCCCAGTGAGCAAGGAGCCTGATGCAGGGCTTCCATCCCAGGACCCTGAGATCACAACCTGAACCCAAGGCAGGTGCTTCACTGACTGAGCCATCCAGGTGCTCCTATTTTATTTTTAAGATTTTATTGATTTACTTGAGAGAGAGAGAGTACAAGACGGGTAAGAGCAGAGGGAGAGGGACAAGCTGACTCTGTGCTGAGCGCAGAGCCCAATGCAGGGCTCAGTCCCACGACCCTGAGATCATGACCTGACTGAAACCAAGAGGCAGGCACCCAACCTACTGAGCCACCTAGGTGTCCCAGAAAGAAGGCTTTCGTATAGATCTTCTTGAAACTCTAAGCTTTTTATATTTAAAGAAGCTACTGCTTTTGTGCAGAAATTGCTATTAAGCATTCAAATTTTCAAGTTCAAAAAGATTGAGGGAAAATAGAACTGTATTGAAGAAGCATTGCTTGTAACACACAGCTTCAGTGCATACGTATTCAAAAGCTACCTTTTAATCCTATCTGTGAGATGTACTATGAACTTGGTAGAAAATTCAACTAAACAAATATAAATAATTTGTATCCTGTTATTTCTGATAAAAAAAATGAATACATAAGCTTTCACACTCACACACAAACACACTATACCAGAAAAAAATCTGACATATTTACTGCTTAAAAATAAACCTGATTTCCTTTTGAGATATAAGCTAATCCCCATTTCGGAATGTTCTGAAAGGAACATTCTCCCAGTTTTCCAGGTTTCATTATGCTGTCCCCAAATAAAGCAAAATTAATTAAGTCATAGTACTGCAGGTATATCCAATGATGTTATTAACCTGGTTTCAAATCTATGTACCTGAAGGATCATCCTGATGTAGTGATAAATATACTGTCTGATTTATGTAAATACGTAATTTTAATATTTCCATCAATATTGAAAAAAATGTTCGTTAGTGAAAAATACTAGATTTTAGCTTTGAGACAAATGAACAATAAAATAGTGGATTGGACGTTCATAAAAATCAAATCAATACTGAAAATAACAAAAGAGCATGTGAAAGCTAAGTTCCCACCTTACAGATAAAATCAAGGTTATATTTTTAAAAATCATCTCAATTATGAAAATAATAAAAATTTAATTTTTTTGTTCTTATTTAATATTTTTGGTTTCTTATCAAAGTTACCCACATTCCTTGTATTATTATTTATTGGCACTCATCATTTTATTCCATTATAATGCTGCTAAAATAGGTTTCTACTTTTTTAAATTTAAATATCACATTTTATCTCCTTTTCAGATGTGGACAAGGATGGAAAGGAAATCGATGCCACATCAAGGTTAACCCTTCCCCTGCAGATTTCACATACACTCAGAATAGTAGGTGATACTGTGACTAATTGCTTAAATTTGGAATTTTAAACGTTTTTCACTGCATACTTATCTTTTTAATTGGTTTGAAATTCCAGATATATGGACTTTCCTGGGCATTGGATTAGCTTTCCTGATGATTCATATTATAGTCGCAGTTGTGTGTTTTCTTGCAAACAGAAAAGTACCAGTCAGGTAAGTGATGCCTTTGATTGCTAAATAAAATATACTGTGGCAGAACAATTTTCTGAAACATTTCAGTTCCTTCATTTTTCTTTCACTTCATTTATATGCAGGTGACTTTAGTGTTTCTACGCTTTGTGGATTTCTTTCCTTCTGGGCAGAATGTAGGAGCTACTTAACAATAATCATTCTTCTTTTTTCAGTAAAAAGCCTTAAGTTTACTTTCCACATTGTGTTAAAAGCAGTTTTGATGACAAGAAAGGGAATGTGGCATTCTCCACAGATTAAGAGACATGAGGGTATCAGTGTCCCCCTTGCTGGTGGCACCTGGAGAAGGCAACAGAACTGCAAATGAGATGCTCTCTTGGCCCTCCCAGTGAACTCTAAACATCAGTGTTTCAGGTCAAGACTCCCAGGTTCTAGGTAATATACAAAACAGAGACCAGGAGTTGTTGTACCCAAAAGAACTCATGCAATACCAAGAGGACCCCAATTACTGGAGGGAGAGAGCCCAAGAGGATAGTGGAGTAGGAGGATCCCAAGCTCCCCTTCTTCTCTCCTAGATAACAAACACATCAGTGCAACTAACCCAGAAAAAGACTCGAAGACTGGCAGAACAGGCTCTGTACAGTTAATTCTAGAGCATCAGCGACATCAAAAATGGTGGGAGGCACAGAGAAACAGTCAAGAACCAAACTCCCACAAGATTAAACTACACTGGAAAGACCAGTCCCCCTAACATTTTACTCCAAAAATGAGCAGAGCTTAACTTTTGGAGTTTTTATAACTAGCAGAGCTTAAAACTGGGTACTTTAAAAATCAGTAGGCTTTACTCTGGAAGAGCTAGAAGGCAATAGGAAACAGTTGCCATCCTTAAAGACAGAACATAACAAACAACCCAGCCAAAATATAGCAAAGCAGCAGCAATCTGAAAATTACTTGGGGCATGCATGAAGTAGATTTCTTTACTAATCTCAGAATGCATGCGGCAAGGGCAAGGATTTTTAGGAGACTTATCTAAGAACATAAGAACTGGCAGGTGACATTTCTACCTCCTGGCAGCTTAGACAACCAGACACCTTCAAGAATGAACATGAACACTCGTTATCTAGCTTGCTAACACTGTATACCCTACCCCACATTCTCCTATGGATCTGGCCCCATCATACCCACCCAGCTGGGCAGGAGTCATTCCAAAGCAGTGCCTGTCAAAACTCATTCTACAAGTAGCCCTGCTAGGAACTAGTGACATTCCTCACCTACCCTGCTAACACCACATGCCCTGCATTCTACTGCAGACCTATCCCATCCAACCTGCTCCACTGGGGAAGAATCCCTCCGTAGCAGCTTCTGACAAGTATCATCCTTCAATCAACTACAATAGTTCAAAGCACCACTCCAAAGTGACTCCTGCCCTGGGGAGCTGGGGAGAGGGGAAGATAACCATACACACCAGTTCCACTGCAGCCCCATCAGGGGGCTAGGGATAGACATCTGAAACGACTGCCAACACCATCCACCAACAAAAACCTCATGGGGAACAGCACAAGGAAAAAACCCTGTAGTTCAGGTCACTGCAACCCCAACAGACCAGAGGCAGGTATTTGGTTTTAGTGAAGACCCCACAAACCAATGAAAACCTCTCAGGAAATGATGCAGGAAAAGCGTCCTACAATTTGATGCTACCACAGCCCCAGCAAATGGGCTGATGCTAGGCATTTGGTCTGAACCAACTTAAAGCCCAAGGTAACTACAGATTGGCCCTTCAACAGCACAAGGATCATACCTTACCCAGAACAGAGAAAGGGGGCCATTGTAGCCAACTGGACAGAGGGCAAACAAGGCTCAGCTACAACAGGATGCATGCAATACATAAAGGAAATGCCTCTGTAGTGACTGGCTCTGGTGAACAGGGAGCAGTGCTCTAAAAAGCACCAGAGGACCTCTTCTTTATAAGGCCACTAATTTTAAATCAGAAGACATAACTGATTTTCCTACTATAGAGTAATAAGCACAGAGACTTAAATAAAACAAAATGAGGGGACATAAGAATAGAGAGAACAGGACAAAATCACAGCAAAAAGCTAAAGGAAAAGGAGATAAGCAATATGCCTAATAGAATTCAAAGTAATGATTGTAAAGAACTTACTGGACTAGAGAAAAGAATGGAGGATCTCAGTGAGACTTTTAACAAAGAGATAAAAAACATAAAAAAGACCTAGAGATGAAGACCTCAATAACTGAAATTTAAAATACACTAGATGAAATAAACAGTAGATTAGAGGAAGTAGAAGAACACATGAATGACCTGAAGAACAGAATAATGGAAAATAAACAGCTGAAGATCAGAAAGAAAAAGAGTAATAGAAATTGAGAACAGGTTAAACAATAGGTTTAATAGGTTAAGCAACAGGTTAATAGGTTAAACAAACTCAGCAACGACATCACAATAATGTCAATAATGTGATTACTCACAAAAATGTGAGTAATAACACATTATAGGGATCTGAGAAGAGAAAGAAAAATTGATTTAAAGAAAAAAATAGCTAAAATTTTCCCTAATCTGGAGAAGGAAACAGAAATCTAAATCCAAGGGGCAGAGAGAGCCCCAAAATCAACCCAAGGAGGTTCACACCAAGCCACATAATAATTAAAATGGAAAAAAGTAGTGATAAAAAGAAGACTTCAAAAGCAACAAGAGAACAGAAGACATGTACCCCAGAAAGCCTCTTAGCTACTGTTTTAGCAGAAACTTTGCAGACCAGAAGAGAAGGGCATGATCCATTCAAAATGTTGAAAGGAAAAAAAAGAAATCTACAACCAAGAATACTCTATCCAACAAGGCTATCATTTATAACACAGGACTGTTAAAGAGTTCCCGGACAAACAAATGTTAAAAATGCTCTTCACTGTATGGCATGGAGTACTGGGTATGGTGCATAAACAATGAATTTTGGAACACTGGAAATAAGTAAATAAATAAATATGTTTATCACCAGTCATACAAGAAATGTTAGAATAGAGTCTGATTGGAAAGAAAATGTAAAAATGGAAGATAAATTTGAAAACAGAAAATTTTCATAAGCAAATACAAACATAATAAAAAGTATCAGATTTGGAGCAACTGACTTGCTCAGAAGAACACACAATTTTCAATCTCCAGGTTATGAGTTCAAGCCCCAAGTTGGGTGTAGAGATAAACAAACTTTAAAATAAACAAACGTACATACTAATCACATATAAAACAAGTACAGAGGTTAAAACACAAAAGCAGTAAAAGCAATTATATCAATAAACAGTCAAGAAATTAAAAATAAAAGATGCAGAATATGATATCATATGCATAAAACATGGAGGGGTTAAGATTTCGTGCTTTTAGAATGGGTTCCAACTTCAGCAACCATCAACTAATGTAGATTTCTACATGCATAGGATATTATACATCAACCCAATGACAACCACAAATCAAAAACCTATAACAGATATGCAAAACATAAAGAGAAAGGAATTCAAGTAGATCACTAAAGAAAATCAGCAAACCACAAGGGAAGAGAGCAAGAAAAGAAAGATACAGGGAAGAACTATCCAAACAACCATAAATCAAGTAACAAAATGTTAATAAGTACATACCCATTGCTAATTACTCTGAATATAAATGAACTAAAAACTCCAGTGTTTAGTTACACTTTTTTTTTAAAGATTTTATTTATTTATTTGACAGAGATCACAAATAGGCAGAGAGGCAGGCAGAGAGAGGTGGGTAAGCAGACTCCCTGCTGAGCAGAGAGCCTGATGCGGGGCTCGATCACAAGACCCTGAGATCATGACCTGAGCTGAAGGCAGAGGCTTAAGCCACTGAGCCACTCAGGCACCCCTTAGTTACACCTTTTACAGTTATGCTGAGGCTGTGATAAAAGACCAAGACCTAGGTATATGCTGCCTACAAGAGACTCACTTCACACCTAAGGACACATGCAAATTGAAAGCAAAGGGTGGAAAAACATTTACCGTGCAAATGAAACAAATAAGATTAAATAAATCTTAAAGACTGTAACAAGAGATGAGGACAGTACCCAACGATAAAGGGAACAATCCAACAAGAGAATATAACAATTGTAAATATTTACACACCCATCATGGAAGCACCTAATACATTAAAAAAAAAAACTATTAAGAGATATTAAGGATTAAACTGACATTAATATAATAATAGTAGGGGACTTTTAACACCTTACTAATATCAATGGACAAATCATCCAGACAGAAAATCAATAAGGAAACAGTGGCTTTGGAAGGCAAACTGGACTAGCTGGATCCAATAGATATATTCAGAGAACCCCATTCAAAAACAATAGAATACACATTGTTTTCAAGGGCACATGGGACATTCTCCAGAATAGATTATTAGGCCATAAATCGAGTCTCAGCAAATTCAAAAGAAATGAAATCATATCATGCATCTTCTCTGACCACAAAATGTGTAAATCAATCACAAGAAAAAAATCTGGAAAGAACACAAATACATGGAAGCTAAATGACACACTACTAAACAGCAAATGGGTCCAAAAATCTTTGGGAGGCAGCAAAAGCTGTTCTAAAAGGCAGGTTTATAGCAATATAGGTCCACCTTAGGAAGAAAAATCTCAAATAAGCAACCTAACCTTATACCTAAAGGAGCAAGAAAAAGAAAAACAAAGCCCCAAACCAGTAGAAGGAACAAAATAATAAATATTAGAGTGTAAATAAATGAAACAGAGAATGAAAAAAAAAAAAACCCACAAGAGAACAGATCAATGAAACCAGGTACTATTTTTTTTTTTTTAAATATCAACAAAACCGATATACCTTGAGCCAGATTCATCCAATGAGAGAGAGGACTCAAATACATAAAATCAGAAATGAAGAGGAGAAATACCCACTGAAACCACAGAAATACAAGCAATAATAGAGATTTTGAAAAATTATATGCTAACAAATTGGACAACCTAGAAAAAATGGATAAATTCTTAGGA